GGGTACAGTATTCTTGGTTGAAATTGCTTTTCCCATAACACTTTGAATATATTTTCCCATTCTCTCCTCGCTCGCATTGTTTCCGATGAGAGATCTTCTGTTAGCTTGATGGGATATCCTTTGTAGGTAGCTTAATGTTTCTCTCTTGCCAATCTTAGTATCTTGTCTTTGTCTGTGGTTTTTGGTCAATCTGGCTATAATGTGTCTTGGAAAAGATCTTCTTGGGTTGATTCTATTGGAGGTCCTTTGTGTTTCTTGGGACTGGATCTTTGAATACCTCTCTAGGTTTGGAAAGTTTTCTTGTAGGATTTCATGAAATAGATTATCAATGCCCTTATGAGTTTCTTTGCCTTCTGTGATACCAATTATCAGGATGTTTGGACGTTTGATGATATCTAGTATTTCTCGTATATTATTCTCATTTAATTGGGCAATTTTCTCAGTCTTTGTGGTGGATTTTCTAGGCTGGCAATTTTCTCGTCTATGGCTGAGATTCTATTTTCTGTATGATCTAATCTGCTTTTAATACTTTCAAGGGAGCTTTTGACTTCCTGTATTATAGCCTTCTTCTCTAACAAGTCCATTTGATTCTCTTTTACAGTGTGTATTTCCTCTTTTAGATCTTGAAAGAAATTCCTCCCCTCCTGGAACTCATCAGCTCCTTTCTCCTGCCTCTTCTGCAGTTTATTGTCTCTCTTCTCTTCCATCTCTGTTAGCTTTGTCACTATGAATATTCTAAATTCTTTATCAGACATTTCCATGACTTTCATTGTACTGTCTGTGGATGAAGAGGAGCTATTCTTTTCCCTTGGAAAAGAGGTTTTTTTTCTTGCTTTCCCGTATTTTTCTGTGTTGCTGTGGTGATTTCTAGTCATCTGATGGATGGTGCATTTCTTCCTAATTCTTGAAGTTCAATCTGAGCGCTCAGAGGTGTGCAGAAGGTGATCTGCAATCTCTCTTCTGTTCCATTTTCACTCTTTGTGCATCAGATTCAGTGGGAATAGAGGAATATTCTGACCCTAATCATATTCAGATGTTTGGATCCTGTTCACTTGAACCTGTCTAGATACTTAGTGTGTAGAGGCCAGTAGAAATGAATCTGGAGGGGGAAATCTCAGCAGAAAATCTTGATTTTTTTGGTCAAGGAAAGCAATATTTCAGAGCTCAAGTTCGGTATCCATCTCAGGATGGGCCTCTAAGAGTTCTTTATATGTTCTAGATACAAGTTCCTTATCAGACATATGATTTATAATATTGACATTTTGGGTCATATCATTCTTTGTTGTATGTAGGGTTTTTGATATATATTGTAACATTTTTGGTAGCATCCTTGGCTTCTACCCACTAGATGCCAGCAGTACCTCCCCTGCCCCAATTGTGACACTGAAAGTACCTTTAGATAATGCTAGATGTCCCTGAGGGCAGGGGTGAAATTGCCCTTGGAGAACCACTGGTTTGGAGAAATCTCATTCTATTTCTATCCCTTCTAGCCTACTTCTTCTCTTCTCTTATGGTAAACTCTCCTCCCCCTATGGTTTATATTTTAAAAATATAAGTAACCCTTTCCCCCTCTTGGACAAATGGTGGTATATTTTACATGTATATATATATATTTTTTTTTTTTTTTTTTTGCCTTGCTTTTTTCTTACTTAAAAGTGTAGGTTGGAGATCACCCCATGGAAATACATAGAAATATTCTTCACTCCTTTTTATAGCTCACAA